TTGGCATCTTGAGTTAGATGGCGAATCTAGTATGCTCACGACATTTGCAACGCTATATGGGCGATATCGTTGGCTCCGTTTGCCGTTTGGTCTCAGTGTTTTGAGTGAAATTTTTCAGAAACGTCTCCACCAAGAGTTACAAGGTCTCCCGGGTGTAAAGTGTATTGCAGATGATGTTCTCATCCATGGCACGAATGAAGCTGATCATGACAGCAATTTGGATGGATTCATGCGCAGATGTCAGCAGAAAGGTATGAAGTTCAATGCCGAGAAGTTAGAGTACAATTGTAAAGAGGTTGCATTTCATGGGCACCAGCTAACCACAGAGGGTCTGAAGCCAGATCCAGAGAAAGTGAGAGCAATCGTCCAGATGCCACGCCTAAAGTACCGAGATGATATTTTACGCTTGAATGGAATGGTCAACTATCTTAGCCGTTTTCTACCCCACTTATGTGATGTAATAAAGCCTCTAAGAGATCTTACCCATAAAAATGCAGCATGTTGTTGGAATGACTTGCAAGAGAAGGCTTGGAATGATGTCAAGAAACTGATTGCATCAGCACCCGTTCTAGCCTAATACAAGCCCACTGAAGTGCTTGAGATCGAGTGTCATAGCAGCCAGAGTGGTTTAGGTGCAGCTTTAACGCAAAATGGTCACCCAATCGCGTACGCTAGTAGAGCCTTAACAGAGACGGAATCTCGTCATGCGCAGATTGAAAAGGAGATGTTAGCAATCGTATTTTCAGTACAAAAGTTTAATGACTTTACTTTCGGTAGAAGAATTGTTGTCAATACTGATCACAAGCCACTTGAATCAATTGTCACGAAACCACTTCATCGCGCTCCTAAGAGGTTGCAAGGAATGTTAATCCGTTTGCAAAAGTACGATTTGGTGGTCTAATACGAGAGGGGAAGCAGAATGTTTTTAGCGGACACGCTCTCTTATCTTCACTCGGGTACGCAGATTGAGTCAGAGTTCGAGATCATCAACATGATGAATTATTTGCCAATATCTGAAGCCAGGCTGCTGCAAATTCAGCGGGGGACAGAACAGGATGAATAACTTCAAGTTCTAAAGGCAGTGATTCAGCATGGCGGGCCTGAAAATAAGAGTACCCTGCCGCTTCTAGCCTCTTCTTACTTGAATGAGCTGTCCGTTCAAGATGGTCTGATTTTTAAGGGGGAGAGGGTAGTGGTACCCAAGGCTGTTAGGAGTGGTCTTCCAAAAAGTATTCACAATTCACACCTTGGAGTTAATGGCTGCCTTAACATAGCGCGTGAGCGTCTTTATTGGCCTGGGATGACAGGAGAGATTAAGAACCATGTGTCAACATCTGAGCCTGCAGAGAGTACGAACAGGGTCAAAGAAAGGAAACACTCACCAGCCACGAAACACCTAGTCGACCGTGGGAGTTCGTTGCAACAGACCCATTTGTTAAATGGAATGAATTACGTTGTGACTGTGGACTGTTTTAGCCATTCCTTGGAGCTCGACCATCTGGGAGGTACATCCTCAGTCTACGTCATCAAGAAATTTAAAGGTCATTTCGCGAGACTTGGTATTCCTTAGTAACTCGTTACCGATAACGGGCCACAGTTCGTCTCGCGCGATTTCCTGAACTTCTCTAGAGAGTGAGATTTTGAGCACAGAACCAGCAGGCCACATCATATTCCGTCGAATGGAAAGGTTGAGAGCGCCGTGAATCAAGCCAAGAAAATTCTGTTGAAGTGCAACAAGACTGGTTCAGACGCGTTTCTTGCTTTACTGGGCACAGAAACACAAAGCCCGCGAATATGCAAATCAGCCCAGCACTGCGGCTATTAAGCAGAAGGACAAGAAGTCTCCAGCCGATGACTGCCGCATTATTACAGCCATCCGTTTCAGATGAGGTCGTGACCCATACCAAGCTTCATCACCGCCAACAACAACAAACCAAGTACTAAAACAGAGGCGCACGGGACCTCCAGCATTTAAAACCCGGGGATACCGTATGAGTTGAGCCCTAGCGCGCGGGAAGAAAAGAGTGGCAAAAGAGTGTCGAAGAAAGTGGCATTGACAAAAGATCTTAGGAGGTTGAGCTCCCTCAACGACTCCTTCCACGAAAAAATTGCTGAGGTGATACTTGTACCCAAAGAAGGAAACTCAGAGGAACCAGCCAACAACAGGCCGATTTCATTGTTACCCATCCTATCGAAAGTAAGTGAGAGACTGGCGCACAAGCAGTTTATGGAATTTTTGACAAAGCATGACAAACTGTCGTCTTATCAAAGTGACGTCTTATCAAAATGCATTCGACAGAAACTGCCCTCATAAATGTTACAGATATCGATGAAAAATCTGCCTCGTTACTAGTACTGCTTGATATGTCAAAAGAGTTTGACAGCCTTAATCATAATCTATTGTTAGGAAAATTACGAAAACTGGGTCTCAAAGCTTCCGTAATTTCCTGGTTTAGTAGCTACCTATCAAGTAGATACGAAGAGTACGATACGAAGATTCAGTCTCAGAATTGTTACCCGTAACAAATGGAGTACCTCAGGGTTCGATCTTAGGTCCTTTGATTTTTACTATTTACATTAATGATTTAATCCGTGTTATCACCCATAGCCAACCCGCTGCATATGTTGATGACAGCCACTTGCACTTTAAATTTTCTGCATCAGACTCGTCAAGTGCTATGGCAGCCAATGGTGTGCAAAGAATTCTCTACTCATAAACCCAGAGAAGACAAAATTTGTGGTGGTTGGCTCAGCACAACTTATTAAGAGGTTACCTCATATCTCCTTATCCCAGTTGGGCAAAACTATTTCACCAGTGTCAGTTGCTAAGGATCTCGGGGTATACATTGATCAATATCTTACCTACGATTTACATGTTACTAAAACAGTCTCTAGCTGCATGAACCAGTTGGTACAGATAGGTAGAATTAAACATCTTTTGGATAGGAAAACCCTTTTACTTCTTATAAATAGCTTTGTTTTCAGTAAACTTTTTTATTGTTCCTCAGTATGGGGGAACACATCTAAACGTAACCTACACAAACTGCAGTTGGTACAAAATTTTGCTGCCAGAGTTGTATTAGGTTTAAAGAAGTTTGACCATATCTCCCAGGGACGGAGATCTCTTAAAGATGTTACGGAGAAGGTTCTATTTAATGACTTACTTTTAGTATTCAAATGTGTAAATGGCTTAGCTCCAGATTATTTAGGTAAATACTTTATTAAACGTTCAGCAGTTCACAACAAGAACACAAGGGGATGTAATGATTTTGTAGTCCCCCGATGTAGACTATCAATGGGACAAAGAGCATTTTATTTTCGGGGTCCAAAGGAATGGAATGGGCTACCTGACAATATTAGGAACACTAAAGATATTGTTAGTTTTAAGAGGAGACTTTTTAATAGGATATTTCAAACGAAATAATTTTGAATATATTTTAAATAATTTTGAATGTATTTTGAATTTCATTGAACTACCGTAAGTAAGTTTTCTTTTCTTTCTTAACTACCAGTATTATGTAATAATTAACATTGTGACTGATAGCCCTGTTGAAGGGAGTCTCAATAAAGTATGTATGTATGTAAATCGCGTTCATCTACGCAAGTCCAATGAAGCGCCTATCAAAGTTGAAGATGATCACGACATCATCGAGGCGCGCGAGCAGTCATCCAGAGAGACACGCGAAGATACGGGCGAACAGGCACCTCGAGATACACGCGCGGAAACATTCGACCAGCCTAGCGATCCGCCGCCTACGGCGCCGGACCCAGCTAAATCGCCCAGAGCTGTGCAAGTACCGAGAAGGTCCACATGCATCCGTAAGCTGCCCAAGCGTCTTCTGGACTAGGTGCTTACTTAAGCCTAAGGACTCTCTCCTAATAACTGAATTTCATTAAAATGTGCTTATTCGCTTTTTTTGGTTTCAAGTTTTTTTTTCTATAAAAGGGAAGGTGTTATAATATTGTACACATTCACGCTCTGTGTTCACGCTTCATTTGCACGTGCTGCTTTATATGTTATATATTCAGTTTCGCTCGTACTTTTCGGGGCGTTGTTTACGTAAGGTTCGTTGTGTTATTACATATTGCGCTACAGTTTAAGGAACAGTGATCACAATCTCACTCAACCATCCTATAATAATCGATATAATCACAATTCTTTCACTTACAAGGCTTCGCATGTGCGGAATCAGCTTCCTTCTGACATTAAAAGATCGACTTAGGCGAGAGAATTTCCTAAGCATTTAAGACCTCTGAATCTTATAAACTTAAGAAACAGTTAGAAATGTAATTTTTGTATATCTTAGATTTATTCATTTATTTATTTATTTTATCTTAGGGCTTTAAACTTATTCTTACGGTTTTTAGTTTTTAATTAATTCAGTGGGATTCGGGAGGTTATAGCTTTGTTTTTATTGAAATTTTTATTGAAATGATTTTATTTTTATTAATTTAGTATTTTTATTGTCATACGTTTCATACATGAGCATCTGGGTCGGATGATCGGGGCAGCCCCATCCCACGTATTGACGTAAATAAATTGATTGATTGTTTGATTGATTGAATAAGCGCCCACCCCCTCCTCCTCCCAATCAAACTCAAATAAGCACTCACCACCATCCAACCCCACTTGAGTAAATAAATTCCAATATTAGACTTCCCCGAGGACGGAGTTTTCTTCAGAGTATTTTACAGAAACCTTGCTTTGTTACTTCTTCGCGTTTTGTTATTTGCATTTATTGTTTTGTTGCAAAATAAACACACTTCACTTGCTGAAAACGGTGAAAATTTCATATGCGCCCAGCTTCGAATAAGCGCCCACTCTCAAGGTGCAAAAATTTAGTAAGCGCCCAGGGCGTTTAATCGAATAAATACGGTAAGCTCATCTGTTATATTTTTATTTATTTCTTATTTTTCTTCCTTTAATGTATTTTCTTTTTGTGAATTAAGCTACATTTTAAATGTATACATTATATGTGTAGAAAATAACTCGAAAACCTCTCGATTCATTTTGTTTTCCACCTAAGTTTCTTGACCCACTCAGCCTGCCAGTATGACGTCACATAGTAACGGACAAGAGCCTCTAGTTGCTTGTGCAAATTAGCAAGGGATACGACAGTTATTTGGACGAGCGTGGTCGAGGAAAAGCTAAGAAGCTAGTAAATATCCCTATATATCGCTAATTTGATCTAATGTGTGTGAGCTTTGGTGTTGCTATAATCTGTTTGTGTAAACCGTTTTGATATTTTGTGTCTGTGATCGTATAATTTTGTTAATTTGTTTTGCGGGCCGTGTTGCAGGATCGTCATCGATTTTACGGGACCGTCAAGGTCATCAAAACTTAAATCTTTTTTTTCTCTAAAATGGGCAAGGTCTAGTCTCCAGAATAGGAGGTTCCATTCAAAGATCACACATGTTTATATTTTATCTATTCTTTTGCTAACTAAACGGGCCGAACTTCATATCATTCTTTCGAGTGTGGGCCTCTGTTGATCTCTTCTCCACCAAATTCAGTAAAGCTGTAGTTCGATCGACTATGTACATCGAGTCGGCCCGTTGAAACCGAAATAATGCGAAATAGCTTTGAAATACGTGCTTAAGCTAATTTTCCTCAAATGTATATTTTAATTCATGATAAATACAGCTCCACCAGCTTCAAACAACGTCTGTGGCAGAGAAAAATTGTTTTGATATGACAAAATTAATTATTCAAATCATGTGTGTCACTGTGGTGCAGAGGTCAAAGAGTTGCTTGCACTTGCAGATAAACCGGATTCGACTCCCGGTGACGCTATTTTCTGTTTCTTTGTACCTTTTTTTTCTGTTTAATCTTTTTTTTTAATACTATTTTGTCCTTTTGGCCTTTTTTTCTTCATTCTTAATGCTGACCCTGCTGGTCATGCACTTGGATCAATATATATTTTAAGCTTAAGTCCGGAGTTTTATTTTGGAAAAGGGATTTCAAAAGCTCTTGATCTGCATACCGGCCAAGCTTACGACCAGAAAATTAAACATAAGCTGTCAAGACAAGTCCCTTTTCTGAAACAGCTGAATGTTTTTCAGTGTTAATTGACATAATGAAAAACAACACACAGTACACCACAAACTGTACTAATTTACACCCCACACCCACCAGTTAACCCTAACCCTAACCCTAAGTTAAACTTGCCTTTTGTAAATCGTCTTAATCATCCATATTATTACCCCAAAATCTCCACAGGGTTTGCCCCCCCCCCACAAGAATGATTAAACGAAACCTTTTATTGGTTTTCGGGATTTAATTACAGAATTACAGGTGTATGCCCAATACAGTAATAAAATGCGGTAAAGCCACAAAATTCAATGCTCACAGTATCTCACAAAATACCTGTCATTTAGCTTCCTCATTCAACGCTACAGCTAAGCGAACTTTGAGAGGAATGATATCGGGTTCCACTAGCTCTAAAGAGCTGAAAATACGCACAATGTAAAGTATGATACATGCTTTGATGAACCTCCTATTGATGTGTCTAAACTCCTCAATCTTGCTGTGCACTGGCCCTCAAAAGTACGACCGGTCGTTATGATTGCCTGTAAAATTTGCTCGAAGATAGAAAGGAATCTTTAAAATTCATTACACCACTGGACATTTCATTCCAAAAAAGTACTTAAGTCTAGTTTTCTATGAAAGTAGAAACCTCAAAATGTCCAAATCCAAGAAATCGGAACAGTATTTCCGTGATAAAATCGAAATTTGTATTCGTCTCTCCGATGAACACTTTGCTTGCCATTTTGAAAGTCACTGACGCGAGACGTGACGTCATACTGGCAGGCGAACTGTACCAAAGATTTCCTTGGAGACACCTCCCCTCCCCTGCTCTAGGCATTTCCTTCATTAATAATTTTTTTGGTTATCTTAAAAATTAACTAAAAAACGTAAATATGTATACAATGTAACTTAAAAAGATAAGGAACTGCAAAATAACCTTTATTCAACTAGGGTAATCCCGTCAGAATACTTAAAAGTATATCTGTTATCAATAGGAGCCCTAAATTAAGACTAATAAAAAAGTTCAAAATAAATAATAAGAAACTAAGTAACTATAAGTTAATAATAGTACAGTATAACAATTAAAACTAATTCTTATTTACTAAATAATTATTATACACAACTGAGCCATTATAATAAAAACTTTTCTTGGCGGTCTCAGTTCTTATTGCAGGTAAGTAAATAAAACTGCTTCTTCTTGTTTCTCTTGAAATAACTTCCTTATTCAACTTAAAATAGCTCTTTAAAAAAGAAGTTGTTGTCATTGTTAAAAGGTTACCCATGGACAAACACAGCGCTGGCCTATACAACAGCGGACCCATGAGGGGACTGTATCTTAACCTACAAATGTTTAGGATCGAGAACCATTAACTATGAGCAAGGTTTGGTAATGCACCAATAACTGTCATAACTAATATCCTGACAAATTTCCTTGGCACCGTCATGCTATATTCCAACCTGGTCGCTAGGGAAAAGCCCTGGGACGAGTTTAGCGCCATTCGTAATTATCTGTAATTCTCAGTAAATCTTCATAAAGCACTGTTAGTTTTTTCACAAATTCCGTTCCCTCGCCCCAGATTCATGGGTGCAACCTTTTATATGAGGTGGTATAGTAGGAGGGCATGTAAGGTTTTGAAAGGCGCCGCAATTACAAATTCGTCCCAAGACTTTTGCACTGAATGTTGCCACTAATGCGCTATGAATGGTCCCGCAAAGCAAATTGTCTCCATTGCCGGAGAATGACCACCAATACCACACGCTGAACCAGTTAACTATTAAGTAACATTAAAACAAAAATTGCAGTTCCAAAAAAATTTGAAGAACGCCCAGACATAAATACACCTGGGTTATGACTGAGATCGCTTGGTGGGTAAGGGTTACTAACAGGAATTTTTAAAAAAGAAATGTCTAGCGTAGCACCTCATAAAATGATCAATTTTTATCTTAACCTATTCGTTACAGCAAACGCTGGAAGAAACAGACTTACCGCAGTGTGGCCGTTCCGGAGGATGTTCAAGGCTAGGAAAGTTATTTAAGCAGAGTCTCGGGCCACATTTATGTTGAAAAATAACAAGGCTGTTTTCAATATAAGATCTAGGCAAATGTGTATTTAGAAAATACGCGCAGTAGTGATAGTAATGTAGTTGCAACTATCCCCTAATAAGGGACCGTTCATTTTTTATGAGAGAGGGAGGGCTGGTGGGATTTGGGGGGGGGGGGCACTCGAAAAAAATTGGCTTGCTTGGGGGGGGCAGCCGAAAAAAAAAAATGAAGGAAAGGGGGGGGTTCGGACGAAAAAATTAGATTAAAAATAGGATAAGAGATGTTTACAAATGGAAGAAAAATTATGCTCTTTTATTTATAACAAATATGCTAAAACAGTTCCAGGGTAACAAGAAAACTTCTCAACAGCTTTTATATTTTATAAGGACAGTGAACATACCATAATAACAGTCTTGAATAGCAACAACTTTCTTTTCATTCATAAAAATGTTGTTGTCAAGCTCATATAATTAAAACCAATAATTTGAGTCCTGAATTGGAACTGACCTTGTTACCAGAGCTTTTCTCTGAGAAATTTAATGGGAGGGGCATGAAACTACTACGAGGTGTCCCCTTCCTCATTTTCGACGTTCTCTTCGATCTCGTCGTCGCTGTGTTCCTCTTCTTCTTCCTCCTGTTCTTCTTCGTTGTCTTCCTTTTCTTCCTCTTCTTCGTCGTTTTCTTCTTCCTCTTTGTTCGTGTCTCAGACGTTTGAGCTATAATCTTCAGGATGCAGGAAGCAATACATCCTGTTTCTTACTTCTGGGTTAAGGTTGGTAATAAGCCTGCCTTGTGCCGCGTTGCTGAAGTAGCTTGATTGCAGTAGGTGAGCGATGAATGCTGCATCCCGTCTTAGCAACAATGCTGCTACATCTTCAACAGTACCACTACCCAGACCCCAAATGAGGGGCGTGATCCAGACGATTGGCAACCAAGAGTCCAGTTGAAAAAGGCACATGCCAGTGGTAGCGTAGTTTTGTCTGATCCAGAGAGCGTAACTAGATTTGGAGACAAATTCATTGTGAAACCAAAGTTTCATCATAGAGTTTAATAAAAAGAAGAGACTGGCGGAAAGGGAAAGGGAAAGTAGGGAGGCAAGAGAAAAGTCCTATGATGATTATCATTGGGCAACTTTGTGCGAAGATGCCGCCAAGCTAAAAAAGCTCCGTGTGCCAGAATTGAACAAATACTTACAACATCATGGGCTATTAAAACAGCATCAGAAGAGCAGCAAGAATGACAAAGTGAAGACAATTATGGGACACTTCCTGCAGATGAATTCTCTCAGAACAGGTCAAGCCGAAGTGAGAGGCAGCAATGAATCAGGCCAACTAGACAGCAGTGGTGAAAGCAGTGAGGGAGAAGAAACTGATGATGATTACAAAAGTGATGCCCCTGACTCTGAAGACGACTCAAATGATGTCGTTCTTGCTTTTGTCGCCTCAGACCAGGAATATGTAGACGAGCGGCCAGCCACAACACGCTCAGGACGAGCAGTAACAAGAAGAGCTGAATTGACTTTTCATTCTTTTCAGTGAGGATTTGTTAAAAACAGCTTTCTAGCTTTCAGCTTTCTTTCACTAAATTACGTGAAATGTAACAAAACGAAATTTTAATGCAGGAACTTTTTTAATACCTTATGTATTTTTTTTTATTAATGGGGGCTTCCAAAAAATTACTCTGATGAGGGGGGCCATGCGAAAAAATCGGAAATTGGGGGGGGGGGGGGGTCATACAATTTTCAAATTACACTCCTCCAAATCCCACCAGTCCCCCCTACCCCATAAAAAATGAATGGTCCCTAACAAAACTGTTTTCAGTACAAGATCTTGGCAAATGTGTATTTAGAAAATACGCCGAGTAGTGATAGTAAGGCAGTTGCAACTATCCCGGCCTCTCTTTTCCCCTCAGCGAAGCTTGCTCCTACTT